GCAGCCCGAGTCCGGAGGCTGTGGCCTGCCGAGTGCCTTCAGCTTTCGTCGGGCTTGCTGCGTGCTCCGCGCGTGTATTTGCACCCAGCCATGTATGTGTACACACGTTTATTGATGCGTGTTTGCGTGTAATTTCTGTGTTTCAGGAAAATGTTTATTGGAGGCCTCAGCTGGGACACCAGCAAGAAAGACTTGACCGAGTATCTCTCTCGGTTTGGCGAGGTTGTGGATTGTACGATTAAAACAGACCCGGTCACTGGGAGGTCGAGGGGATTTGGGTTCGTGCTCTTCAAGGACGCTGCCAGCGTGGAGAAGGTGAGTGGATTTCTTGTGGGTCCATGGCACAAGTGTCTGTGTCACTGCGGTGATCTGAGACTTTGTTTTCTTGTGTGCTTCTTAGGTATTGGAACTGAAGGAACACAAACTGGACGGGAAGTTAATAGATCCTAAAAGGGCAAAAGCCCTAAAAGGGAAGGAGCCACCAAAAAAAGTGTTTGTTGGTGGGCTGAGTCCAGATACATCAGAAGAACAGATTAAGGAGTACTTTGGTGCTTTTGGCGAGGTATAGTATAATAGCATGTAAGAACAGCTCTGGTTTTTGGTGCAGTGTTGCCTCTGTCTTAAGACAGAAACATTTGTGAGGAGAGAGCCGTCTCAGACTTACATAAAACTAGTTGAAGCCATATGTTAATGATTCTGTAGTGTCGTGATGGCCTTATTTATAGTGGTCAGAAGCAGCTGGTGTGGACATTGGACTGATGAATAATTCTGGTAGCATAAAGTTACTTATATGTGTTGATTTCAGATTGAAAACATTGAGCTTCCCATGGACACAAAGACGAATGAAAGGAGAGGTTTCTGTTTTATCACATACACAGATGAAGAGCCGGTAAAGAAGTTACTAGAAAGCAGATACCATCAAATTGGTTCAGGCAAGGTATGTAAGGTCTTTTTTCTCTGTAGGACTCTCTGAAAGTAACTTAGAAAATGGTCTTGAAATTCCTGGTGAGTTTAAGAATTTCTGTCTTTACAGTGTGAGATCAAAGTAGCACAGCCCAAAGAAGTTTACAGGCAACAGCAGCAGCAGCAGAAAGGAAAAAGTAATGCAACTGGTGGAAGAGGAGGTGGAAGGGGGCGTGGACGGGGTGAGTTTTGCATGTTGAAGTTAATGTAAATGCTTAAGTGCCTGTACCAAACACGAAGGTGTTTCTAGATACTGCAGGTGTTGCACCGTATGCAGATCCTTTTTAAAAATTGAATGTGGAAAGTAGCCTGTTAGTAAAAGGCATTTTGGTGGTTGTGATTGCTTGTGGAAGATGAAGAATCTCTTCTTGCTCTGCTTGCATTGAAGTGGGCAAATTGGATGTAAGGTGCTTTTGTTATACCCACAGTTGATAGCTCAGTGGAGTGTGGAGTTACCCTTTAATGTGAAGGGATATACTCTTAGTTTGCTAATGGGCAAGAAACCATGAGCTGTTTGCTAAAGAGCAAGACAGTGATTTTGCTGTGCCTTGCAAATAAATGAGAAGCCTTCAGTTATGCTACAGGTTAATGCGTCTCAGTCTTAAAGTCAAGTAGTTGTAACCAACATAGTGTAGTAATGCTGATGCTGTGGTATAACTTGGTATTCAGGCAATTAATGATCCAAAATGGAAGTTAAAGGAAAATAATGGGAGCTGCTGTAGTCCCATGCCTTCAGTGTTGTGTTCTTTTTTTTTTTTCCTGGCTGTTTTATGAGCATGTCTACCTGCTGTCTTTCTCTTAACATTGTTGTGGGTGCTAAGATCTTGTGACTCATCTCTCATCCAAATGAGATGCCTCAATTCTTTTTAGAATTTATTTTCTCTTGTTCTTGGTAAGATAAGAGCGTTCTTCCAGGTAATAGTTCTGGTATAGAAAGATTGCCATAGAAAGTCGGATGAAGTGGCATAGGATATGAGTGAAATAGTAAGTTCTGTAACTTAACAATGCTGTACTTGGTTTCAGGTCAGGGACAAAACTGGAACCAAGGATTTAATAATTACTATGATCAAGGTTATGGGAACTACAATAGTGCTTATAGCGATCAAAGCTACAGTGGCTATGGAGGATATGATTACTCTGGGTACAACTATCCCAATTATGGATATGGGCCAGGATACACAGATTACAGTGGTAAGTGGTTTTGATCTAATTCCAGATAATAGCATACATCTTTGAACAGGAGCCTCTTAGTAACTTGCTCTGTGATACCTCTTACTAGTAACACATGGCTCAAAAGAGTAGCCCTGTTTGTGTACTGTAGAGGAACAATCTCCTTCAGAGTGTCAGGTATTAATGTTTCTGGGTTTTTGTGGTGTGTGTGTGTGTGTCCCCCATGTTATCTACAGGTCAACAAAGCACATATGGAAAGGCATCCCGTGGTGGCGGCAATCACCAAAACAACTACCAACCGTACTAAAGCAGTACCTAGTACTTGAGGAAACAGGTGTGTACAGGAGTGCAAGGTCAACTCTGAGTATATCTAATCTAATTTAAAGATCAATAGACAAATGAAGAGTAAAAACTTGCATAGCATGACTTTTCCTTTAATTAAGCTTGTTAACTTAAAAAAAACCCTTTTTTTTTTAAACCAGCTTTGCCTACAGTGTCTATAGATCTTTAACTTTATAAAAATGTGACTTTATCTTCTTTAGTACTTCAGAAAAACATAAGAGTTTTTCTGTTTTGCGTTGTGTACCAGGTGGTCTAGAGGAATAATTAAACTTATTAGAAGTATTAACAGGTAAAGTACTGAAATGGGTACAACTTAAGGAAAACAAGAATGTTATCTTCTAACTCTGACATTATACCTTGTTTGTACCCGCCAGCGGGAACTTCATTGCAGGCCGTGTGTCACCCTGACCACGTCTATCTCTGGGGTCGCACGTTGCAGGCAGAGCGCAAGGCATACACCAGAAAACGCTGTCCTGTGGTATGGTCTCTTCCAACTTCATGTACCAGCGTAAAGATTAAAGTGGAAAACTTCAGACTTTGCCTTCTTTTTTTTAATCTTTTTTGGAAATTAAGTGTCTTAACTTAAATGGTTTTTTGCAGGAGTTAAAGTACATAAATGCCTTTACAGCTTAATCATTTGGTCTTCTGTTTAGTGTTGTATTTCAATTGTGGAACCTCATTTTAAGTGTGCATTCTTTAAGATTTAATGCTTGCTTTTTTCTTTTTATAGCTAATAGTGAAATCTGCAAACCAAAACGAACTTTTAAATCTGGAAAAACATTAAAGATCATATGCATGTGGACTGTTTTAACTAAATTGACCTTACTTGTGTTTGCACAACAGTTGTTTAAATGAATAAATAAATAATCAGAAACCCTTTTGGCAGTGTTTCCAGTGGAAAAAGCCACCCTGATTCAGACCCTGATCAATAGTCTAAAATGGATGTGTATCATTCTGAACAGCTTCCTAAATGGGCTGAACGGCTGTATTTGGGAAGATAAATTACTGATGGGTAACAAAACCTCTTGTTACCTTAATTATGCATATGATCTTTAACAGTGAAGAAAGGAATATATAGAAGACTTAAAGCAGTTCATGAAAATGGACCTTTTAATGATTCTTGTAGTAACTTGCACAGATCTGACATATATTTTGTCTTGATTTTTAGGTAGAGATACTGCAACACAGCCATCTTGCAGCACATCAGGAGTGAATGGAGGGTGGTCTTCATGAGAGAAAATGACTATTTTGTAAAAGACTTTCAGTGTATGACACGACTGTGTCCAACTGTACATAGCAGCCAACTAGTTTTCTTCTATGGTTTTTCCTTTCTTTTTGCCATTCATGTTATGACACAATGCGAATTTGTGTTTATACAAACTTTATTTGTATAATTTCATGTTAAAGGATTCTCTAATAAATGCTTACTTAAATGAAGTCTTCAGTTTTGCTAATTGGCTGTCAGCTTACAGTGGTATAACTGTACTTTTATGGAAGGATATATAGCTTTGTGGAGATCATAAATGGTTCCAGATATGGTTAAGGCTCCTTTTCCTGACCTATCTTAAGACCATAGTGCCTTGAGTTAGCATCGCTGTGCAACATGGCAGAGTTGTCTCCTGCCAGCTGCAGGAACGAGAGAAGAGTGGTCTAGTTGCGCAATAGTAGGTGTTCCATCCGCATCAAAGGAGGGATTTAGAACTATGGAAGCACCTTTCTTACGCTGATAACACGGCTTGGGGGGTTGGAGGGCAAGATCTCTCTGTTCAGACACTTGGATTCTAGAACACTCAAGGCTATGACTTTACTAGAGCAACTGCTCTCTATTGCACTTCTGACCAGAACATTACAAGATTCTCAACTTCAAGGTCAGCATTTTGTACAATGTGGGATCTGTACCTTCAAGTTAGATACTCTACTAAGGTCTTAATCAGAAAATGGGTTTCCCCATCTTGTGTATACTAGCAAGCAAGCTAACAAAAGCTTGAACAAATGACTGCCAGAGAGGAGAAACTGCTTTAATCAGCAGGGTGGGATAAGTGAGGATACACATTCTGCCAAGGGCCAGTAGGAATCTGCCTTCAGTTTTTTCTCGGCAGTATCTAGCCACACGTCAAAACCAAACCTTGTTAGAAAAGTGTTTGTAGCCAATTTGCAGGGGAGACTGGCCTTGCAAACTTGTAAAAGGAGAAGTCGGGGTAGAGGTTTCTCTCCAGAAGTGACCCAACGATTTCAGCATGGCAGCTGTGTATTTTACTTTCTCCTGTTAAAGAAGAGCTGCATACTCTTAACTGCTACGAGCTAAGCAGTTCATAGGTCGGGGGAGGTTCTGTCATCTTTGCATGGAGAAGACGCAGTGGTATCACTGTCTACAGAATAACGAAACAGCACCTGCCTGTCAGCAGAAGCCACAGCCGCGTGTGACTGTACCCCCAGCGTTTCCTGACCGCGGCTGGGGGCGCCCCAGCAGGCGCGCTGGCTGGCTGCGAGCACTGCTTGCTTTGGCTACTGGGACGCGGTTTTGCTATTGCGCTTGTTACTACACACGAAGAAAACCCCTCCACTCATCTGAATAGGCAAGTTTTACTTCAATGTTTACGTTTTAAAATTAAATGAGGCTTTTGTATTTTGTTTCAAAGCTTCACGTCAGTACCTTCTGA